CTCTGGGTAATGGAGGGATGGACAATACATGCTAGTCCAGCCAGCGATGCCCTCATCCCGTGAGTGAATAAAAAAAACTCAAACACACATGACCAAATACCCAGGATGAAGTTCCATGTTGGACACTATTCACATGAGCTAGGCAGTTTCCATATATGGAAGAACAGATTACCAGATCCTGAAGGAATCTCACAGAGCAAGGACCTGATTCCAAGAGGGTAGTACAAACCCTGGCCAACAAAGGTGCTACTTTATACTCAGCAAAACAATGTCTCACTGTATTATCTGCTGTGCTTCATAGCCAATTGGATCGAAGAGTGTCATTTATTGATCTAACCCAGAATCAATGTCCGTGCTTAATTTTGGAGGAGAACTTGTTTTTCTATTCATTTGTGGGATGTGGGTGTTGCTGGCTGGGCCCAGCATTTCTTGCCCATCCCTAGTTGCCCCTTGAGAAGGTGGTGGTGAGCTGCCTTCTTGAACCGTTGCAGTCCTCCTGCTGTGGGTTGACCCACATTGCTATTAGGGAGTGAATTCCAGGATCTTGACCCAGCGACAGTGAAGGAACGGCGATACATTTCCAAGTCAGGACGGTAATAATGGACATAATGGTAATAAAGGACGTTGCACGTTTAGGTCAAACCGATTTGGTTAAGGAGGTGTCCAACAGGGATCAGAGGTTAATGTGAATCCCAGCCAGGCACTGAAACCAAACTTGAACCGGATCTTTCCAATGAACAGTGTTATGCCCCAGCTATACACACAGGCCAGTGTTTCTGACAGTACTGCTTTATAAGTGCTCGAGATACTGCATCAATCAATAACCTTCAATGAATCAATGCAAAATACTGCAGAAGCTGGAAATTGTTGTGTGCAATTTGCTGTGTGCAAATTGGCTTGACATGTTCAGCAATGTTGCTTTAAATAGATATATTACTTTACTTTCCAACCTGCCCAATTTGGTTTAGCAAATTAGCGCAGCATCGAGGGACTGGGTACAGTGTAGAAACCCCCCTGGGCTGCTTGCCCAATAGGAACACTCAATGTGAATATAAAGAGTCCTGACATTGCATTGAGGCTTCTCAGGGTGGAATATGGTGCACAGACAAGGGCTTAATTTCTATTCCTCTTCCTGCAGTTTTCAATTCGAATTGTTTCACCATTGGACCTTATTCCTGATATGCAGTAGATAGAATCATAGAATCCCTGCAATGTGGAAGCAGGCCATTCAGCCCATCGTGTCTACACCGACCCTCTGAAGATCATCCCACTCAGACCCACCCTCCCTCCCTACCCTATCCCTGTAACCCCTGCATTTCCCATGTCTAACCCACCTAGCCTGCATATCCCTGGACAATGTGGCCAATTTAGTATGGCCAATCCACCCTAACTTGCACATCCCTGGACATTATTGGCAATTTAGTATGGCCAATCCACCCTAACCTGCCCATCCCTGGACATTACTGGCAATTTAGTATGGCCAATCCACCCTAACCTGCACATCCCTGGACATTATTGGCAATTTAGTATGGCCAATCTACCTAACCTTTACAGCCCTGGACTGATCAAGAGTTTCAGAGTTGCATTGACACACCTAAGTGAGGATCATGCTGTACAGTGACAAGCTGAATTTTACTGCATGATCTGCATTTTTCAACTCAAGTTATTTTATAATGTACAGTCATAGAGACATACAGCATGGAAACAGACCTTCGGTCTAACCAGTCTATGCCGAACAGAATCCCAAACTAAAGTCGTTTCACCTGCCTGCTCCTGGCCCATATCCCTCCAAACCTTTCCTACTCATGTATTTATCTAAATTTCTTTTAAACGTTGTAATTGTATCCATATCCACCACTTCCTCGGGAAGTTCATTTCACACATGAACCACTCTCTGCGCAAAAAAATTGCCCCTCGTGTCTTTTTCAAATCCCTCCTCTTGCCTTAAAAATGTGCAGCCTGGTGTGAAAATCCCCCACTTTAGGGAAAAGACACCTGCTATTAACCCTTTCTATGCCTCGCATTATTTCATAAACTTCTATAAGGTCACCCCTCAACTTCCTACGCCCCAGTGTAGAACGTCCCAGCCTATCCAGCCTTTCCACAAACATTCCATAGCTGGCAACATCCCACATATTTTAATCTTGGGAGGAACAAACCCCACCCGGGGAGCTGTGGCTCTGTGTGCGATGTCTCCACATCAGAAAATTTGGGCTTCCACCCTGGTGACTTGAGCTCATAATGCAGGCTCTTCCACTCTGTAGGGGGATCGAGGAGTGCTGCACTGTCCCCGATGTTGTCTTTTAGATCAGACATTAAACCAAGGGCTTGTCTGCCCCCCTGCCCCCTCAGTGGCAGACCCCCATGGCCCTATTTTGAGAAGGAGCAAGTGCCCAGTGTCCTGTCTAACCCCACCGCCCCCCCATCAACAAATGATCTGGACATTATCGCACTGCTGCCTGTGGGAGCTTGCTGTGCACAGGTCGAGCAAGGAAGCACTAACTTGGTAGCAACGTCACTGAACGAGTAATCCAGCAGGATAATCTGGGGACAGAGGTTCGAATCTCACTACGACAGGGTTGCATTCGAGTTCAGCGAGTAATCTATTAACACGGGTGTCCCTGAGTTACAAATGCCACCTTATACAGGGGTGTAATTTTCAGCTATTTTACTTTGCGCTCTGATTTACAAATCAACTTGCAAATGGATTCTAGAACAGAATCTGTTCACAGCCCAGCATCTGCTTATGTCAGGTTCTTGTGGTGCAGTGGTAATGTACCTACCCCTAGAGTAGGAGACCCAGGTTCAAGTCCCATCTGTGCCAGAAATGTATCCTAAACAGGTTGATTGGAAAAGCAGAAAACTGGTTATGTGAAACTAGTTGCCAGTGATGGTTACCATGACAAGATTATTAATTATTGTGAAACCCCTTCTGGCTCACTAATGAGACTCCAGCAATGTGCTTAACTCCAAAATGGACACACAAAGCACTCAGTTTAAATGAAAATAGGGATGGGAAAGAAATGCTGTGCCTCACTAGTGACACCTACACATTGTGCATAAGAATTCAGGGGAAAATTTAGCTGACCATTTCATACATTATAACGGCAAATTTAAATGTAGATTCAGGAAATCTGAAATAAAAGCTAAAGTGCTGAAGAAACTCAGCAGGTCTGGCAATGTCTGTGAAGAAAAGAAATCTTTGGAAAATAGTCATACTGGACCCTTAACTCTGTTTCCCTCTCTCTCTACAGATGCTGCCCAACCTGTTGAGTTTCTCCAGCAATGTTGGTTTTTGTTAATTTTGAAAAAAAGTGTTGCAGAGCCATTTGACATGTCCTGAGGATGTGAACTTAGAAATCTAAGACACAAAAACAGAAATTGCTGGAAAAGCTCAGCAGGTCTGGCAGCATTTGTGGAAAGAAATTGGAGTTAACATTTCCATGTCCAGTGACCCTTCCTCAGAACTCAGTTCTTTTGCAGTGCTCCTGTCTTACTTAGAAATCTAAGTCTTGATAATGACAAAAATCAGAAAATCCTCTTGGGGACTCAATATCGAGTTCAAATATTTTTTAAAGGAGCTGAACACATTCCTGTATTGTCCTTTAACCACCCTACACCCCTAATCATGTCATCACATGGGCTTCTTTCAGCACAGCTAATCCATTTTCACTAACTTATGGTCCCCATTAACAGCCTTTCTTTGTCTCGGGATTTCCATTATTCATTGCTTTACCTGTCTAACTGTCTTTGTCTCTCTCTCTGGGCACTATCTATCAATCAATTACTCCTTTACCACCCCATGTTGTCAGCACATATACCTCCTTTTCCCAGTTACTAATAGTCCTGAAGAAGAGTTCACTGGACCTGAATCATTAATTCTGCTTCTCTCTCCACAGATGCTGCCAGACCTGCTGAGTTTCTCCAGCAATTTCTGATTATTTTTTCTGATTTCCAGCATTTGGGGCGGCACAGTGGCATAGTAGTTAGCACGGCTGCCTCACAGCACCAGGGACCTGGGTTCAATTCCAGCCTCGGGTGACTGTCTGTGTGGAGTTTGCACATTCTCCCCAAGTCTGTGTGGGTTTCCTCCGGGTGCTCCGGTTTCCTCCCACAGTCCAAAGATGTGCAGGCTAGGTGGATTGGCCATGCTAAATTGCCCGTAGTGTTCAGGGATGTGTAGATTAGGTGGGTTATAGGGGGATGGAACAAAAACAAAGTTGCTGGAAAAGCTCAGCAGGTCTGGCAGCATCTGTGAAGGAGAAAACAGAGTTAACGTTTCAGGTCCGGTGACCCTTCCTCAGAACTTAGGGGGTGGGTCTTGTTGGGATGCTCTGAGGGTCGGTGTGGACTTGTTGGGCCGAAGGGCCTGTTTCCACACTGTAGGGATTCTATGAACTATGATCTGCAGTTCTTTGTTTTATTTAAGTCTTGATAGTATTTGGTATGACACAACCCAGGAAGTCCTGTTGGTGCCTCTGCTTCTGAGCCAGAGGGTCTGTGTCCAATCCCACTCCAGGACTTGACAGAGAAAGAAGGGTGAGAGATGATGACATTGCCAAATAGGCTGATACACCGAGGGATAGACGGTGGGGAGCTGTTCTGACATACATGCCTGAGGCAGCATGATGCTTCTCGAGATATAGTCTCTGACTTTCCTAGATGTGATGTACATGCCATTCAGCAAAGAGAGATAGAAGGGAAATGTCACAGGCACAGGTATTACCCTGTCTGTAGATGGTGAAACCTATTTTGCAATCCGTGCTAAGTGGTTGCAATGAGGTCAGCCAACTGGATCTCATAGAACCTGAGTTCCCTGATTGGAGCTGTTAACCCAGTCCAATCAGGGAGCCCTGGCTGACATAAAAGAATGACTGTCAGGGATATTGAACCCTGGGCTCAGTGAGAGGCAGCGCTATTATCAAAGGCCATGCAGTGATAAGTATAGGGTGATTGGTGACACAATGCCAGTCCCTGAAGAGTTACATAAAGAGCCTTACCAAGAATGGTCAGCAAGAGAAGTAGATTTCTTTCCAACCAATTGCAATGCTTCGAAAAGGGAGGTTTGGGTAATTCATCCAGGCTCGGGTGACGCTCTGAGATATGAATGTCAGATTGGTTTGTCATCTCTGGAAAAGCACGGGAATCTGGGCAAAAAGGAAACAACACAGTCTCATAATCCACTTAAAATACAACCCACTCCCCACAGTGTAACACTCAGTAATGTCCCCAACTCCCCTCGGTAACATTTTTTTTTATATTCATTCATGGGACGAGGGCATCACTGGCCAGGCAGCATTTATTGCCCATCCCTAATTGCCCAGAGGGCAGTTAAGAGTCAACCACATTACTGTGGGTCTGGAGTCACATGTAGGCCAGACCAGGTAAGGATGGCAGTTTCCTTCCCTGAAGGGCATTAGTGAACCAGATGGGTTTTTCCTGACAATTGGCAATGGGTTCACAGTCATCATTGGATTCTTAATTCCAGATATTTATTAAATTCAAATTCCACCATCTACTGTGGTGGGATTCAAACCTGGGTCCCCAGAATGTTATCTGGGTCTCTGGATTAACAGTCAAGCAATAATACCACTAGGCCATCACCTTCCTCTCTCCCCTCAGTGTAACACTCAGTAACATTCCCCACTCCCTCAGTGTAATGCTCAGTAACATTCCCCACTACCCTCAGTGTAACGCTCAGTAACATTCCCCACTACCCTGAATGTAACACTCAGTAACATTCCCACTACCTTCAATGTAACACTCAGTAACGTTTCCCACTACCTTCAGTGTAACACTCAGTAACATTCCCCACTACCCTCAACGTAACACTCAGTAATGTTCCCTACTACCCTCAATGTAACACTCAGTAACATTCCCCACTACCCTCAATG